ACACACACACACACACACACACACACACACACATATATATATATATATATATATATATATATATATATATATATATATAGAGAGAGAGAGAGAGAGAGAGAGAAGTACAAGTCCTTAGAGATTAAAGAGACTAATTTTGAAAAAGAAAAGTCGTGATGTTACGAACATCATTTATTCGAGATTACGTAGAAAGATTTCAGGTAACTTTTTGCATTCTTTCTTTATGACAAATAAGCAATTCCTGTATTTGTAAAATCTATTATACGTCCGGAAAACAAGCAGACACAAACACACACACACACACACGCACACACACAACATGCGCAAAAATACACGCATAGACGATCTATGTGTATGCACACAGGATGTATGCACACACAGTGATACACTGGATACGGAGGACACACTGGATACGAGTGACATATACTTGTCTTGCTCTATCGCTAACACCTTTGATAAAGTTGGTCACTCGTCCACCCCAATTCCATCCGAAGAATCAAGGTTGTTCTTTCTGTAGCCAAAGTAAATAATTGACTTTATATAGTATATTGCATCATAGGACGATACAAATAAATACATAGTTGTTTCGGTCCGAGGAAAAACTCATTAAAACAAGAATCCTTTCACTGCAGTTCTTTCGTGACGATTTTCACTCATCTCAAATGTCGATGATTATCATGATTTCACGTTAAGCTTTTGAAGTTTTTTTTAAAGCAATTCACCCCAAGCAAGGCGGGAGTGCCACTAGCACGAAAGGGGTTACAGAGGATTGAGAATAAGAGTAAAGAGGCGTGTTAGGGGAAATGATACAGAGAAGGACGGGAAACAAGCTCAGGGTGTCAGATATCGATTGATATTACACTTGAATATTTGAAGATTATAGTCATCGGGGAAGCAACTAAGGGGAAGGGAGTTTCACAGACGGGAAGTGTGAGAGAACAAGCTGTTTAAGAAGAAGAAACGGTTACATTTAAATTCATGCAGTCTGACAAACAGCGAAAGTAACTCGTCGGAAAGGTTGCCGTGAAAATATTTGTAGAAGAGATAGAGAGAGGCCACGGCACGTATGTGGGATAGCTTGTAGACCAGATGCCAGATCAGGACCTATCATCTTGAATATTTATCTCTGGATTTTGTCAAGGACATCGAGACGTACAGCGGGAGCACCAGATTATATATGACAGCAATATTCCATGCAAGGACGGAATGGTTGAATCGTAGATTTGAAGGATGGACTCAGACAAGAAAAAAATTCTGCTACGACACAGAGAACCAATTTTCCTTGCGGTAGATGAAGCTATTGATTCAATGTATTTGCCCCACCTTATATCAGCGGACAGCGTGAGACCAAGCAGGCGTAACGAGGCGCTCCGGAGGAGTTAGGAATCAGCCATTCTGATGGGAGGCAAGGAGGGTGGGGAGTAAAGAGAGCAGTTTCGCTTTGGAGGCATTAAAGTTTACAAATCATTTCCTGCCCCAGTCAACCACGTTGGAGGTCCTTTTCGAGATTAGCAGCCAGGTTAGTTTTGTCAACGATACCAGATTTACTATTGAGGCAGGAGTAAATAGAAGCGTCGTCCGCGTAGATGCCTACTTGGGAACTGATGAAATCGAGAAGATCATTGATGAAGATCAGGAACAGTGTAGGGCCCAAGATAGAGACTTGGAGGACATCAGCGTCCGTGATAAATGAGCTGGAGGAGAACGTGTGTAGGACGACCTTCGTTTCACGGTTTGACAGGAATTATTGTATTAAGTCAAATAATCGTCTTTAATGCCGTGTCCCTGAAGCTTACGAAGAAGACCAGCATGCCAAACCCTATCAAATGATTTAGAGATATCTAGCTTCTCCGTTATTGTTAAGTGCTTAGTGCACAAATTCAGTAATGGCCATGAGCACGTCAACGGTAGCTCGGGGAAACCATATTGCTTACCGGATTATGTGAAGTAAGGTGCTTAACCACTTCGACGTTGATTAAGGCCTCGAAGACATTACCGGATATTGGTAGGAGAGTGATAGGACGGTAGTTAGACGGGTGAGAAGGATCACCAGAGTTTTTAAAAACAGGCACAACAGATGAGGACTTCCAACAAGCTGGAAAGCAAGAGCCGGTGAAGCAGTAGTTGTAAAATTTAGAGAGGACAGGAACCAATTCAGAAGCACATTTCTTCAGGACAATGCCCGGTATCCCGTCCCCACCACTAGCTTTATGGGAGTCGAAAAAACGTAAACATATATATATATATATATATATATATATATATATATATATATTATATAATTATTTATTTAAAATATGATTCCAACACGCTACATAAGAGTTCTCATGTTTCAAAATAAGAGCTGAAAACTTCAATATAATTATTTGAATTAAATTGAATTAAAATACTAAGCTCCGTTCCATCTTCAAGCGAAATTTTTTGGGGAATAACTTTTTCTATTTTTTAAAAATAATAACAAAATACTAAAGAACTTTGAATCATTTACCTAACGAGTTCTTTCCTATTTTCTATATATTTTCATATATATATATATATATATATATATATATATATATATATATATATATATATATATATATTATTATATATATATATATATATACCTCTGGTCAAAATCTTAAAGCTAGATACAAAAGGGTTAAACACTATAAAGTACTGTTACTTTAATTACAATATATTTGCGAAACATTTAAATTTAATTAGAAAATGTAGTTTATCAACAAACAAGTGAAAATATTAAGCTTTTAATTGATTAATTTAAACAAACATTGGAAAAAGGATTTTGTGGTTGGTCGTAAAGATAAGACTATGTAAATAAAAATAGCAAATAAAGAACAAATAAGTCACAATGATAATTTAATTCTCAGTATACCCTCCATTTTTGTGAATTACTTTGAAAATTCGCTTTGGCATCCTCATTATTAACTTCTACATGAGGGTGCTTGGGATGCTTGCCCAGGATGCATAAACTGCAGCATGAAGAGCAGCCACAGTTTCAAATTGTGATCCATGGTTATAAATATCCTTTGCCATCCATCTCCAAACAGTCTCGATTGGGTTTCAATCTGCAGAGCATTGTGGATTGCAACATTGTCCTGCTAAAAAATCCAGTTTTCTCCACATAGATGAAGACCTTCAATAATTAGCGATGCCTTTCTTAACATGTCAATACAACTAGAAGCTGTTTGACGACCATTTTAACTCTTGTAACTCAAGAGTTCCATTGTACGAAAATTAACCCCACACCAAAATTGATCCACCTCCACTGTGTCGTGTTGAGAAAATTTCTTTTGGGAGATCTTTTGTATGCCAGTAACGCTGAAAACCGTCTGGGCCATCAAGATTGAATTTTTTTCTCGTCTGAAAACAACACTTTCTTCCATTTATCCACATCCCAAGTTTGATAATCCGAAGCAAATTGTAAACAGGAGGTTTTATGGCGAAGAAGGTGGCGAGGCCTCTAAGTTCTTAAAACCTGATTTAAATGCCGTCTAATTGTTCTAGAGCTGCATTCAGCATCTATATTCGCTTTTATGTGATTTGATGTTAGGCTTGAATCTATATTAACTGTATTAGTTAAGATAGATTCTGTCTAGAGTCTGTCTAGAGATGGTGAGATTTTATTGGGGCGACCGCTTGATTTTTTAGAAGCATACGCATCCAGATTTTTAATGAAGTTAGCAATGACAGTTCTGTTACGGCCAATTTCATTTGCAATGGCTCGTTGCGAAAGAGCACGTCTTTGAAGTTCAACAATCCTGACCTGTTCGAACTTAGTTAAAATTTTACACTTAGCCGTCTTAAAATTTGAAATTTAATACTGGAAATAAGCTACGTAGATGTCTACGTACCTGAAGCTATGAAGCACACTGACTATTTCTAAAATTTTTGTCCAGTGGTCTTATCTTTATGACCGACCAAAAAAATCTTTTTTTTTTCAATGTTTGTTTAAATTTATCAATTAAAAGTTTAAAATGTTCACTTTTTCTAATTAAATGTAAATGTTTCGCAAATATATTGTGATTAAAGTAATAGTATTCTATATTTTTTAACCCTTTTGGTATCTGGTCTTAAGATTTTGACCAGGGTTATATATATATATAATTCTTGAATGGTATTATAAATTGGGTATGTTGAACACTTAAATCACTTTTAGAATTTTTCTTCAATTTAACTAAATTTAATTATTCATTATGTGTCTTTAAGAATCGAACAAATAAAACCCATTTTATTTGTGTTTATCTTCTGTTTTTTAGTTTTATATTTCTAAGCATTAAATTCCAATCTGTTGAAAGAAAACTGCAAATTCCACTGAATGTCTTGTTCTTGATATTTTATTTACAGAAGGTCAAAAGGTCATGAAAACAGTACATTTTTAATAGCAATAAGAACCGAAAAAAATGCGTTTTGTTAAAAAAAAATCGGAATAAATGCCCTTTAAGTTTGCATTAATAATCATGAAATGTGTCCCGTTTTTTTTTTTTTTGGCTGAATTGAATAAATTTACCCTTTTGTTTCTGGGCGTTAAGTTTTGTTCATTTTTGCCGATGAAGTTTCCACCGATTTTCAAGACAGAGTATGTGACTGTGAGCCCCTCAGACATTCAAGATAATTTTTTTCCGGCAGTTGACACAGGCTTAAAAAAAAAGAGTGAAAGAGCACGTGCACACAAGCGAGAGGGAGAGAGTAAGAGAAAGAGAGAGAGAGAGAGGGAGAGAAAGAGAGAGGGAGAGAGTGAGAAAAAGAGAGAGAGGGAGAGAGTAAGAGAAAGAGAGAGAGAGACGGAGTAAGAGAAAGAGAGAGAGGGAGAGAGTAAGAGAAAGAGGGAGAGAGGGAGAGAAAGAGAGAGAGGGAGAGAGCGAGAGAAAGAGAGAGGGAGAGAGTAAGAGAAAGAGAGAGAGAGGAGAGAGGGAGAGAAAGAGAGAGAGGGAGAGAAAGAGATAGAGAGGGAGAGAGCGAGAGAGAGAGAGAGGGAGAGAGTGAGAGAAAGAGAGAGAGACAGAGAGGGGTAAAGTTGGCTAGAATTGGTGAGAGGGATAAAGAAAAATACACATGTATAAAAACAAGTGAAAGATAATGGATGAAACGTAAACATACTGATTTTCTAAGCGTAACTTAGACGTGGCACAAGGCCGAAAGTATAGGGCATCCAATGAGGATCGAACTCATTTTTCAGTCGTAACTGATTTAGCAACACAAGCTTGTTTAAATTTAGTTTATATTTGTTTTTGTTAGAAATAGTTATAATAAATTATGTGTTGATATGAAATTTTGTAAATTGTCGCCATTTCATATTTTTTTAATTTCGCGCATGCGCGTTGTTTATTTTTTATTTTACCCACTGCAAAGGATAGTAAGATCAGTTGGTCATTGTCTGTGAGAAAAAAAAAAGACCACCATGACGCAATTAACTCCGCCAGGAATTTGGAAACGAGATACTGTACTGCTTAGCATTCTAATCGGAAGCTCCAATAAGAAAATTTCAGAGTATTTTGGTGTTAGTCTGAGTATTCGGAAAGAGTTGGATGAGTCTAACGGTGATTACGAAGGTACGGCAGCTTGAAAAACTTACATTTTGACCACCTAACTCCCTAGGCTGCAACCCCAATTGATTATTATGTGTGGCATGCAACTGAGTGAGAGACCAACAAAACTTGTAACACCAAAGATGAACTGATGACAAGAATTATGGCAGCATTCACCAACTTAAACAAGGAGATTATCCAGAAGAGTTGCAGGAGATTCCGAAGTCGTCTGGAGGCAGTGTTTGAAGCCAGTGACGAATTTATTTAATAAATTTACTCTTTAGTATTTCAAGATATTTTTGTGAAATTTTGATAAATATATCCGTTAAAATGAGATGTCAGTGTTATTTTAATTTCTGTGTCATTTAGACGACAATTTATCCATCGCACCCTTTAGTATAGTCATTGATATTTATGTTATCTTACATTTAGGTATATAAAGGTGTATATTGGTGGTAAAAGAGAGATAGAAACAAAATTTGGTAAAGTCCTCGACTGATGGGAAGACAGCACTAGAAATTGGATAAAGTGATCACAAAACAAAAGAAATTGGATAAAGTGATCACAAAACAAAAGAAATTGAAAATGTGACAATATGAGAAAATTAATGAAGATAATGAAATATAAATAAATCTTTACTAAGCTTAACTATTTCATAAGCTTACAGTTATTATCACTCATTGAAATTTGGATTTACTGACAAAGACCTGTGAGAGCAGCTGTAAAGACACGGTTTTTATCATCCATCAATTCCTAATTGGCAGAGTCGACAAATTGGGAATGGATGGAACTAATCCACGGTGCCATTTGACAGTACTTTGATAGAGAGAAATAAATGAGTTTGTATGGCATTTACCATATGGACAGATGGAAAGTGAACTGACGTAGAATGGAACTGTCAAAGAAAGAGACTGAATAAAAGGAGGAGGCTGTTTGCTACATTAAATCCAACAATCAAACAATACAGACAATTTTCTCTTATTTTTCAAACAGAATATATTCTTTAAATGATTATTCATTTTCTCTTCTTGATTCAGCTCTTTGAACATTTCATTTTCTTTGCTCATTGCGTTTTGCCATTTTGTTTCATTGAATCTTCTCAACGCAATGCATCTTTAGTCAGTGTATTTGCTTTCGATTTTTACTATCGACGACCTTACACAACAATTCGAGCGGGTATCGTTACAGTTTATTCTTAGCTCTGTTTAAGTTTGTAGCTTTTTTCGTCACCTGACCAACTTCGTAGTTTCTTCGCTATGATTTCTCTAACGACACCAAAAGTCATCAACAAGTAAAACCTTCAGCATCAGTAGCAGGCAGACAGGAAGAAAATTATATTTATGTCTCCAAACGTTAAGAATTGTCCCACATGACAATAGCCTGAAAGTGTTGGTGCGTGAAAATGTTGACATAGTATTCATTTAAGATGAGGTCATTACTCCCAAGAATAAAAATATACAGAGATATAGACTTTAAATTTGAGCATAAGATGTATTTTAATATAAAACTAACAATAATTAGAAAAGAAAATATTTAATGCAGAAGAAAACAGGAAGAAAAGTAACGCTAGAAACTAATTAAAGTTTATCATAAAAAAAGAAAAGAAGATATGCTGGTCTTTGTGAACCAATACAGGTGCTTTTAGAATGATCCCTAATGTTTTGCTCCTATCACACAATTGTCATTCGCTATTTCACTTGCTGTAAACGAAGTAGAATTAATTTGGCGCTACCAAAAGCCATCCCCAAACTGGCGCTCCAAGCAAGATTTATTTGCGAGAACACTAAAAGATGCTAAGATCAGTATTACTATTAGTAATGAACACGATAACTTAAAATCTCGTAGACACTCATCAAAAAAGTTTTATCAAATAAATGGTACCTAGATTCTCGAGTGAAGTTCGCTAGTGAAAAGTTAGTAAAGCTTAATCTTTTTTTGATGAATGTTCTTTGGTCAAACGAAACGAAAATTGAACTTTTGTATCTCATATACAGAGAAAAATATAGATACGCTTAGGCAAAACAAAACAAACCAAAAACAAAAAAAACAAGGACACAAAAGATAAAAACAAACATTCCTACAATAAAATATGAAGGTGACTATATGATTGGTGTGGTAAGCTCTTTTTCAATAGTGAAGGGCTCTCGATATGACTGAGAGTATCCTGAATAGAAACAATATATCGGAGTATTTGGAATCAATTTTATTTCTGTAATAGTTAGAGGTTTTTGAATGCTGGATCTTTCGACAAGGTAATGACTATATACATAACTAAAGTGACTATAGGAGGCACGGTGGAGTAATGGATAGAGGCTTGGATTGAGGAATCGGAGAGCTGAGTTCGGATTCAAGTCGGATCTATGACATTCACTTACGTGCTAATTTTAATGTATCCTTTTCTTCTCCCCAGCTATAGCAAGACATAACCTTGGATGGCAACCGTTCTAGGAGAAGGAAAACCGTCCTGGAGAGTGTTGGGCTCATCAGGCTATCTTGCCCAAGAAACCCCAATTTTTACTGTGGCAGCACGGGATAAAAAAAGTAAGTTCAAATGGTTTGTTCAAAAAAATGTCTTAGTCGATCTCTGATCCAAATCTAAGCAAAGGTTTATGCCAGAACCTAAAAGATAGAATTCATCAGTGGCACCAGAAATAATGATTCCGAATGTATATTTTGATTTTGCAAGGAAAAGTGGGCCAATATTTCAAAGGAATATTGCGAAGACCGTGTGAAGGAAAACTCCTAAGCAACGAATTATTAATATGTGATATCAAAATGTCCGAATAGATTTTCTCTATTTTATTTTGCATTGTTTGAAAATACAGTGATTTTTTTATCTATTTAAATTTTAAATTAATTAAGGATTTTTTCACAGATTAAATAAATATTTTATAAGCATCTAAATCATTATTTTTCCACACACTCTATACTATATCATTACTGTCGTGTTAATTATAAAAATACAACACCTACATAATTTTATAATAATATATGCGTCGGAAGTATATTAAATATTTTACCAATGTTTAAATGCTTTTTTTCTCTAGCCTCTGTGTATTGACTTGATGTGTTATGCGATGGAATGGAACTGTATGTGTAGTACTAAAAATATTTCCTCGAAAAACAAGTGATCACTATTTCTGGCTAATTATAGACGTTTTCAGATTAGCAATATATGCGTTCGATTTTATATGTTTATCTCTCTCTCTCTCTCTCTATCTATCTATCTATCTATCTGTCTGTCTGTTCTGAGAGTATGAATGAGGAGAAAGAAGTGGGATAAAGTTTATGAGGAAATGTAGAAGAGAGAAAGAGAAAAAAGGGAAAAGACGGTTCAGTGCAAAGCAGAGTAGGTGAAAAAAAAGGACGATGTGCTTTTATCTTTCTTTCTTCTTGTTAATTATTTAGTTGACGATCCCTTTTTTGATGGTCGTCTGACGGCTTCAACTCTACCCTCTTCCCTCCCCTTTCACAGAATGAGTAAACGAATCATGTGACCAGATCATTTCGCGCCAACAGGGAAGAATGTCACTAAGCCTCCACTTCTGTCACGGACCTTTCCCACCCTCCATCTGCGTCGACGTATTCTATTATTCACGTTCTAATTAGACATGGATTCACTGGGTATTTTCAAGTGCACATGTGTACATACAGCCGTATACACACACACATATTTTCCAACATATAAATTAACATGTTCAAACGCTACTTAACACATTGTCGTACAGATACGTTCAGGTATTGTAGGCCATTTTAGATGATAGTTTCTTTATTGCGAAAGTTTTAGACATTTCTATTTGAGACATGTCGCTTGAACGTTAGTGTTCATTTTGGACACGAAATTTGAAGGAGTCAATCGCTTTTGATTGCTTTCACGTCCATCGGATGATCTTTTTTTTTTTTTTTTAAAAAAAGATGGAATAAATTTTCCCCTCATATTAGAAGTGAAGAACCGAATTTACCTGAAGTTTTGAATAAATTGAAAAGAAAATTTTACATTAAGGATGTTTCTTTGTTTGGTGTAAATTGATGTCCACTGAACATTAAAAGACGGCACAAATTCATGAAGAGATGTAGTCATTGTTAAGAATGATATTTTGGTTTCTTTCAGTAAAGATAATTAAATATGGTTCACAAGATATTGACCATGTCCTTGAAGCTCGAGAAGATGACTGATTGAAAGAGTATGTCGAAAACAACAAGATGAATATATTTATATAAAGAAATCATTAAGTGGAGACATAATGTGTTTTTTGTGGCGTAGGAATTTGGAGAAATATTTCTTATTTTGAAAGCCTTAAAGACTTTTAAAATAAATATTATGATCGAACGTGGTTTTCGCAGATGATGATTCGTGGATGCAATATAAAGATATCTTGTTATTTTTAGCAGCAGGTTTCCATTGCACTAAAAAAAATTAACACCATATTCTCAGATATCTGTAGTTGACATTTATGTACGGAAATTGATAAAAAAAAGTGTCTTTAAAAAATGGTTAATTCTGAACTAATTTATATAGACTGGCATTATTATAGTAAATGTGCGCGTGTATGTATGCTCTGTGTATGTGTCAGAGAGAAAAATAGAGAGAGAGAGAGCGTGAGTAAGACAGAGAGAGAGAGAGAGCGTGAGTAAGACAGAGAGAGAGAGAGCGTGAGTAAGACAGAGATAGAGAGAGAGAGAGAGCGTGAGTAAGACAGAGAGAGAGAGAGAGAGAGAGAGAGAGAGGTAAGACAGACAGAGAGAGAGAGAGAGAGTGAGACAGAGAGAGAGAGAGAGAGAGAGAGCGGAGTAAGACAGAGAGAGAGAGAGCGAGTAAGACAGAGATAGAGAGAGAGAGAGAGAGCGTGAGTAAGACAGAGAGAGAGAGAGAGAGCGTGAGTAAGACAGAGATAGAGAAAAGAAGACAGAAAGGAGGAAGAGAGCGGTTTGGTTTATGTCAATCTGAATAGTTTAATTTCGGATCAAATTCATAATTTCAAAAAAATTTAATCGAACCCCGAGAGATTGAATATTTTGTAGAAACCTTAATTAAAATAAAATGTCTCTCTGCTCGCTGATGCTTTAACCACTTGGCCTCTCGATAGAATTGTTTTCATTTTTATACCGATGTCTAAATCATCGAATGCCTGCGCCTTCGTCAGAGCAGATGCGTCTGTGAAGGATAGAAACAGTTACGTTTCGACCAAATTTTGGTGTGGATGAACCAAGCATCTTTCTTCGTCTTCGAGAAGCGAGGTGTCTGATGTGCGAAATCTTTACAGAAGTATCCTAATGTTAAGCTTTCAAAGATGAACGCCCTTACACACCTGCTCCACGTACCCTCGGGCAAATAAGACTCTGATCCTTTGATCTCTACCAAAAGTGTGGTGCTTGTGCGTGAGTATGAGTGTGAGTGAGTGTGTGAGTGAGTGAGCGCGCGCGCGCACACGCGTGTGTGTGTGCTAATATTGTAACAGAATACGTGTTCATGTGCATTCAGGAACCAGTAAGACAGAGAGAGAGAGAGAGAGAGAGAGAGAGAGAGAGAGAAAGAGAGAGAGAGCGACAGAAGCGGGTAGAGCAAGAGGAAGGGAGAGAGAGAGAGAAAGAGAGTACTAGGTGGAAAGAAGAGAAATGGGAGTAATAAAGTTAGACAGAGAGGAGAAATCCAACTGTAAAATGGAAAAAAAAGTGAAATACATAAGGAAAAATGACCCCTCAGAAAGGATAAAAGACACACACGTATACTCAAGAGAGATGTTGAAAAGTCCTCGGCCAATCCCACTTCTCAGTATCTGACCAAATGATCAAACATCATAATTTAAAAATTAAATCTCTTCTTGATCTTGGTCTATTAGTTTTTAGAAAAGGAATGACATACATACATACATACATACATACATATATATATATATATATATATGAAAAATATAGTTTTAAGGTATGCTATATTTCCGGGTAAAAGGTCTCAATATCAGAGATGGAACGTATGTAAATATAAAAGTGGACACTGAAGTCAACACCAAGCGTGGATAGTCTGTTTTATCTTTAAACGGAATCTTAAGGAATGACGTTTATGTTCAAACACACACACACACACACACACACACACACACACACACATATATATATATATATATATATATATATATATATGTACATTGGCTCCCAAATTAAGATAGAGCACTCTTAATTTTTATTTTTAAATAAAAATCATAAAAATATGGAAAAAATAAATTTCGAAATTTTTCTGAAGAACACTCCAAATACAAACAAAAGGAATTATTTCGTAACGTTAATGCAAGAAACAGAGGAAATTCTACGAAGGATGACATGGAGAGCTTACTTTTTCCTTCGACGAAACAACTTATCAAACAAACCTGAAGTATATGGTTTTAACAGTAAGAAAACAGCCCCGTTTATTCGTCAATTTTCTGGTTTTTAAAATGATTTATTGGCAGAAATAAATAACATAACTTTTCATAAAAAGAAAAGCTATTTGCAAAAATGTCTGGACAAGATAGGGAAGCATATTAACGCAACTGATAAAATTTTAATGAAATCGGATAAAACAGGAATTTTTTTATAAATTAACACCAACTGACTACAACAAACTAATTAAAATAGATTTAAATAAGAACTATAAAAAGGCTACTAATAATTACAAAATATGGTGGAAAACATTAATATTAGTAATAAAAACTTCACAGATAAATTGAATATTAGTAATAGGGTAGGTAAACATACCAAAAAAAAAAAAAAAAGAGTACTATATAATCATAAAGGATTACAAACCCGATTTCGAAGATAATCCGATTATAAGAATTATCAACACAACCTGACCTGAAATCGGCAGAATTAGTAAGAAAATCCTAGAAAGGGTCAACCAACAAATAAAGATTTACCTAGAATTAAAAATTTGGATCAACACCAAAGAAATTACTAATTGGTTTACTAATATCAAGGAGAAACCAAATTGTATACTAATGCAGTTTGATATTGAGAATTACTACGAATCGATATCAAAGAAACATTTCACGACTGCTATGGATTTTGCTACTTAATACTCAGACATAACAAATTTTGGTGTGGAAGAACCAAGCATCTTTCTTCGTCTTCGAGAAGCGAGGAGCAAAATCTTCACAGAAGTATCCTAATGTTAAGTTTTCAAAGATGACATACACACACATTCTACACACCTGCTCCAATTGCTACCCAATACTCAGATATAACAGATAAAAGCATAATTATAAATGCGAAAAAATCAGTACTAGTCATAATGACGAGCAATGGATTAAAAACTCTAATGAACACTTTGACATCACAATGGGGTCATTGGACTCTTCAGAGTCTTCTGACCTTATAGGTCTTTTTATATTATATAATCTTACTGCATATCGTGAAATTAGTATAAATGACGTTAGATTGTAGAGAGACAATGGACTTATGGTTGTAAGAAATTCTACGATATTTAAAATTGATAAAATTAGAAAACTATTACTTAGAGAAGTTAAATGCATAAAGTTGAAAATTACTGCAGATACTAATTGAAAAAGTTAACTTCCTTGATATAACATTAGATTTAATGAATAATATATACCTACCTTACAAAAGGCCCAATACTAATCCTTTATATATACACCCTAAGTCTAATCATCCTCCATCTATAATTAAGCATATACCTTTATCTATTCAAAAAAGAATAAGTACAAATTCACCAAATGAGAAAATAATCTATGAACTTAGTAATTTCTATAATAAAGCTCCAAAGAATAGTGCCCAAAACTCAATTATATAAAAAATGAAAATGGACACCATAGAAAAAATAGAAATTGAAAAATCACTTGGTATACGCCCACGTACAACCAAATGGTAAGAAATAAGTTAGAACAAAAATTCCTTGCATTAGTCGATAAACATTTTCCTAGAGAAAATACACTCTAAAATAAAGTTACAGTTGTACTGAAAAGTTAGAAATGATTATTAAGAAAAATGATGCTAATATCTTAAATAAACACTTATAACAAAATCAAAAAAATATAGATAAAAAGATATGAAGATAAAGAAAAATTATGTAACTGTAGAAATCCTCAAAACTGTCCTCTTAATAATAAATTCGTATTAAATCAATATTTTATCAATGCAATATTTCATCTATTGTAGATCCAGGAATAGTTAAATTCTACATTAGATGCACACGAAATGAATTCAAATGAAGATGAGGTCAACATCAAACGTCCTTTAATAATAATAAATACCGAAATCAAACGTCCTTATCTAAATATTTCTGGCACTTAAAAGAAACCAGTAAAACACCAAGAGTAAAATGGGAATTAATAAGAAAAACTAGAGCTTTTAGGTCATTAAATAAGATTGAGAGAGAGAGAGAGAGAGAGAGAGAGAGAGAGACAGAGACAGAGACAGAGACAGAGATACAGAAAGTGAGAGACAGAGAGATTAACAGAGTAAAATATACAACGATTGATATTAATTAATACTTATTCTAATTTAATTTTGGAAGTGTTATAACTATTTTGTTTACTTGTAAATCATAAAATTCTTTCAGCCCCCAAGGGAAATTTGCCGACTTATCTTTTCCTAGCCATAATCCTCTTTCAAAATAGCTGTCCCTTTGGATATACGCAGTAAATGAAATAGTAATAGACAGGACATCTTTATAGGAACGCTGCACTTGATGTAAGCCTCCAAGAAGATAGGCCGGTAGAATTAAGGTTAAACCTATGGAGAACATAGAAAATGGTCTTAGTGATAGACGCCGCCGCTGTGGCAGGGCCGGTCACCATTGTGAATGAGAATAAGCGTTTATTCTTATGTTCAGTCACAGGCTGGCACTCATATTGCAACTGTCAGTGGAGTCACTTTTGTGAAAGTCTTGGTAGAGTTTGCAGTTTAACGCAATCTCTTGGCTACTCAAAGACCTATTCTAAGTTCGTTCCCATAATTGTAACACACGTCAGGAAAAAGTAGGTAGTGGTTGCGGTCCAAGACTTTTCTAAGCAGGGAAATGAGACCTGGTTCCATTACTATAAGCCAGCGTGTAAAAGAATGATGTGGCCCAACTCAGATTCTTCCAGAAATTTAACAGAAATTGATGTCTACTGTATTTTGAAACCAGAAGGGAGTGATACTGACAGAGTTTACGCCCAATAGCCCTATTATTAGTGCATTATTAGTGCTGATGTCTATAGGGACACATTGACAATAGAAGAATAAGAGCAAAGTAGCATTTAAAGATCCAGTATGCATTTTGAAACATAACATGAACAGGCCACACAGCAGCTTAAAGTACAGATAAAAAAATAACGTGCCTGTGTGGCCAGTATTACATCATCTATCCTATAATTTCCATCTTTAATCCTTAAAATTTCACTTGTTTGCGTCCATGAATGAAATATTTAAAGGCTAGTGGTTTTCCAACGATGATGACGTGAAAGAGTTCAACTCGTACAGGAACGAAACATGAATGCATATTCTGATTCATTCCACAATTGTGTGTGAACAATTTTCTTTTAATCATTTCACCCCATTCAAGGTAATAAAGCCACTAGGATGCAAGGGGATGATACTAGAGAATATGAAGAAAAATACTAAGAATAGAATAGAGAACAAGAAAAGAACAAGAATTAAGAAGAAAGAAGATAACGATTGACATTGAATTTAAATTTTTGAAGAACAAATATGACTGGGAAGCAAGAAGCCGAAAAACAATTCCATAAGCGACAAGTGCGAGAAAAGAAACTGTTATCATAGAACTTATGGTTACATCTAGCTATTTCAACTGTAAAATGACGGGACCTTGCCGCCAATCTAGTACTGCGCTCAAATTCGGAATAGCAGAAGATTCAATAGACCAATAACATTGCAGATTCTTCTTTGGATTTTATCAAGAATCTTAAAATATATAGCAGGAGCCCCATACCAGATATGGTATGAATATTTAAAAAAAGGATGAATGGTAGACTTATAAATATGTAAAATAGATTCTGGCGAGAAAAATTGTCTAGCATGATATCGTGAACCAACTTTCTTAACTGATGACTTAACGATTGGTTCATAAGAATCTTTCTATTTTATGTCAGCTGAAAACATTTATCCGAGAAAGTGCAATGAGTCATTTTCCAGCGGGGTTAGCATCAGCCAAGCTGATGGAAGTTAAAAACGGTTCTTTCAGCTGATTAAAAGAGAGCAGTTTCGGTTTTAAGGCATTAAAATTAACAAGCTACTTTTTGCCACATTGAGAACAAAAGCTTGTAGGTCATTATTTTTTTAGATGAGCTGCTAATTCGACTTATCGAATCGATTAGACTTACTATTAAAAAAGGAAATAGATAGTTGTATTATCAGCAGAGACACCGAGTTGATAAAAAAAAAGATGAAATCACGAGGGTCATTTATGAACATTAGAAATATTAGAAATTATATTGAAGGATAGATTTTGAATTGCATTAATTTGAATATATTTTTGTGCTTTTTTTATTAATTCTGGTGTAATTAAAGAATTACAGAAATTACTTTTTCATCGTGCCGCGTCTCTTTCACTCTCAGTAGCCCTTGCGCCTTGATGGCATTTTCGCCTTACTTGGAGTGAATTGATTAAAATAAAATCACTTTTCTTACTCCTTTTCCTGATTGTAATGATCTCTTTCTTTCTTTATTTCTTTCTTTCTTTCTTTCTTTCTTTTCTTTCTTTCTTCATCTCTTTTTTTTTGGTCGATGTCGTGAAAAGAGGTGTGAGGGACATGATGAAATAAGCCTAAATGACTTTAAATAATAAGATTTTAAAACACGATTTTTTTTAAATAAAAAAAAGCGATCAAGGTCAAATTCCCCAGTGAACAACGCGGAATATTCTTTTCGCACAAGAATTCATAAAGTCAATAAAAAGGCGTTGCATAACAACGAATAATAATAATAATAATAATAATAATAATAATAATAATAATAATAATTATTATTATTATTATTATTATTATTACTAGTAGTAGGATATATTCTACTTTTTCTTCTTCTTCTATTTATTATTATTATTATTATTATTATTATTATTATAATACTCGAAATGTTTGGTGTTTATTGCTGGATCAAATGATAGAAACTTATCTCATCTTTCTTACCAAATTCAAGCTATGGTTTGTAGTTTCTCAGTTGATAGTTTGCACAGTTCTCACCACTCCAGATACGAATGACTCTTGAAGAAGATGATTAAATTCAGTTTAAAACAAAATTATTATTATTATTATTATCATCATCACCATCATCATCATCATCATCATTATCATCATCATTCTTCTTCTTCTTCTTCTTCTTCATTATTATTATTATTATTATTATTGGTGGTGGAACTAGTATTAGTAATATAAATTCATGTATTTTTATATTTGCACCGGCGTTCAACACAAGAAATTGAACAATCGTAAGTCTCTTCCCATTTTCAGCATCATGATCAGTATCCTAGCAGACAGGAATAATGCTGCAATTTGGATATTCTCGAGTCTTGTTTGGATTTCTTATAATTGTAAGTACTCTACTTATTATTAAAAACACGGTTCTAATCGCCATGTTCCACGTTTTTCTCAGATTCTATAAAAAATGGTCCTGGTATTTTCAAATTCATAATTTTCTTTTATCTTCAATTCGGCTTATCCAAATCTATAATCTAACAATTCTACTGTGTGCCGTGTACCTTCAGGGCGTGGGCGGTCCTGGCTTTTCCCAATTTCCTGTAATTTGTAGTTCTTAGTAAATTTTATCTTTTTGTTATTGCCCGTAAACTTTGTTCTGTCATCCATTTAGACAATCTCATTAGGCAAGAGTTATTTCGTTTGTCCTTTCGCTTTCAACATGTCATGTGAGTGTCAAATTTTCCAAGCCTTCTTTCCTCATTATGTGCCTTAGAATTGTCAACTCTCACTTTCTGAGGTTATGTATAAGTGTCCTTTTGTTTTCATTTTCTCTAAAACTTCATCATTGCTCACATGTTCAGTCCATGTTATTCTCAGCCTTCTTCTGAAGAACTTCATTCCTTTTACCTAAAGTCCCATCTTCATCTGCGAGGAGATTGTCCAGCATTTACTGATAGTCCAGTATACTTTTCTTCGTTTGAAATTTTCCTGTTTCTTAATACTTTGCTTAGATTTTGGAAGGCATCTTTCGCTATCCCAATGCTTCCTAAATATTTAAATTGTTGTACTTGTTTTATTTTGGTATCCCTAATTTGTAATTTGCATGCTAGGCTGTTCTTTTTCCTAAAAAGAATGCATTCTGTCTTCTTGCAAGTAAGATTTAGTCTTCTATTCTCGCTTTCAAAGTGTCGTCTGCATATTTTCTCTTAAGATTATGCCCGACAAAAATTAATCCTGGTAGGTCTTGTAAATCTCTCAGAATTGGTTCGCTGTATAGGTTGAATAAGATCGGTGAGAAGACACATCTTTTTCGTACACCCCACCTTCTATTTTAATATATTTATTGAATTTTATTTTCTATCCGTATGCAAGAGGTTTTCTCCAAATATAGGTTCTGGTTTATTCTAATATACTTTGCACATATGTCAAGCTTACTTAGAAGTTCCAATGTTCTTTGGGATCTACTTTATCAAACGCTTTTACATTATTTGTAAAAGATAGTTCTGTATTTATATTGCTCTTTCTGATATCATTCCGGGTGTAAATATCATCGCATTCCTTGTTCCGGTGTCTTTAACGAAACTATTCTTGTCCTATTTCCGGATTAATTCTTCTTCACACGCTTTATTCATCAGAATTTGGATGATAAGTTTTCTTAAATGTCTCCTTAGGTTGGTTGTCCGATGGAGTACACATTCGTTTGCACTTGATTTCTTGAGAAAATGGATCTACTTAGGTCTTCCGGTATGTTATCACAGTTTTATATTTCAATTATTATGTCTGTAATCTTGTCAATGCCGAAATAATTCAAGGCTTCCAGCGTCTTTATTAAATTCACGTCTCGTCTTATTGCGCTTTGTTTCTCTTCAATTTCACTAGTTCTCTCATGTATTCGTTCCATTTCTGAAGTATATTTTCTTTCTATAATATCAGCGTCCTCTCTTTGGATTTTATACATCCTGTTGATGTGTATGTCTTTTGTCCTCTTAGTTCTGGCTATTCTTTTTATGCTTTTATCGCTAAAACTCAATCTTTCTATTTCTGCACATTTTTTGTGGAACCATTCCTTTTTAGCTTGTCTGCATTTGTCCCGAATTTATTTGTGCACTTTTCTATACTCAGTGTTGTTCCTTGCAATTGTTTTTTGTTTTTATCTCCATTTTCATCGTGTCGAGAAGTTTATCTGTCATCCATTCTTTTTTTTTCTTTGTTTAATTATGTTTGGAATGATCTCGATTGTTAACGTTACTAAACTTTCTGTTAATGTGTTCCATTTTGTTAATTTGAGTACTGCATTGGCCCTCTTCAATTCCAGTAGTTTCACTCTAATTTACATATCACTGCAAGATCGTTGCAACCACAGTCGGCATTTGGACATGTTTTGCAGTGTAAAACTGCATTCTTGAAGCTCTTATTGATATATTGGTATAGCCGATCTAGGTTTTTCTGTCTTAGCCTACTTTATGTTCTAAAAAACCATTCATCATGAGACCCATTTTTCTCGGTGTTCATTATGAATTCCTAGTCCAGATTTACCAATCTTATTTCAGCATCTCTCTCATTGCCTACTTTAGTATTCAGGTTTCTCATGGCGATTGCAATTTCTTGCGACTTCCACTGAGCGTTGACATTGCCTAACGTACATTAAAATCTTTCCATTTCTTCTGTACTTTGTGCCATCGGTTTATATACAACTATAATGGATATGTTAAAATGCTTCCCTTTCAGTTTAACGACAGGAATTATTTCCCAGAGCATATTTCTTCATGTTTTTATTTCTTCATGTCTTGGTCTAATATCAGTCCAAATCCCTCTTATTTATCGCTCCATATGATCCTGTGTTTGTCACTGAAAAAATCTCAGTTGTTTGTCCACCTTGTTGTGAGTTTGTGCATGTACATATATGTATGTATATATGAAATATATACGCACATGCATACGCATATATAAGTTTTAACTTAAAGTTCTAAATATTACTATTAAAATTCAAAGTAACCTTTTTCCTTGACTTTGTCGAGTAAATAGAAAATCTCTTCTCACTATTTAGTTTCGATCGAAGTGCCAACAAGTTTCCATAACTCATAATCAGAACCTTGAATTTAAAATAAAAAGTTATATTCAATTTTTTATCCTATCGCACAGAGGGTCATTGGTACTTTCTTTGTTTACGATTATCAAATCTGACCTTCTCGCTTAAATGGCTGAAGTTGTATTTTTGTTTTGCTGATTTATATTGTTGATAGTGCAATTTATAAGCAAGCACTTATTGACATAACGTTACATGAGCAGGGAGAATATTACAATGTTTCGATAGTTTGGGGATGAAACAAGTAGAGAATTAGTTTTA